GAGACATAGTCCAAGTTTCGTCCAACTATTCCATTTCTATTTGAGAAGTAAGGAAATTGAAGTGCAATCACAAGATGGTGATGCCTTGAGTTTTGAACTTCAAAAAATATTGGAAAAACTTGAGAAGAGACAAGCAAAGATCATTAATCTACATCAGGATTTCTTTAAAGAGCTTTCAAGCGAAAATCCTTCAGAGACAAAATTAGAGGACATCAACAGACAAGCTCACAATCTTACACATTATTGTGAAAATGCATACAAGAATAGTATGAGTTCCAATATGAATAACAAGACTTTAATGAGAGCATATGCTCACTTCTTAGAAACTTTCAAATTTGAACTGGAAATGGCTGCAGAACTTTATGAAGAAGCCAACCAAATTGAGGAAGAGAAAGCAAAGTCAACTAAGAAAAAACAACCAGAAAATAGAGTTCTTCCCTATGCTACTTCTACATCTCAATTAATGAAGCACAGTAAGTCCAATGCTGCCATGAAGAATGCTGTTTCATTCGATGAAGTTGTGGATAATTGGGATTCAATCAGTGCAAGAATGGAAGAAACTATGAGGGAGGAAGCATTCTACAGAAATTCTATCAACATGCCAGAGCGCAGGAAATCATTCTTTATGCTTTTTCTTCCATTTATTGTAATTTCCATTCTCATTATTCTATTCATGTTGATTCTTAGTTTGATTGTTTCATCAGAGTTTACGAGTAGAACAGCACTAGAGGAAAAGATTTGCTCAATAGCTGGTGCTCCAAGCATTATGGCAAATCATGTTAGAACATTGCAAGCAAGATACAGGTACTTGAACGAAACCACTGCTGGACCAGTTCAGCATTTGGCAACACTGCAAGCGAACTATGTTTTAAATTTAGTTAAGAATGTGATGAGTGCATCCACAGAGTCATTCTTTCCATCTATTACAGATGACTTCATCTCTCAAAAGTGGACTTACAAAATTCCAAACAAGCAGGTAGTTGGAGAATCCTCTCAGGTTTACACAACCATGAATGTGTCAGTGTTGGATTTCATTGCAATGTTTGCAGCTCAAGCTCCAACAGTTATCAGTCAGTTTTCTTATCCTGTTCAATTGAATAACACTGCCACAAACTTCCCAGTCTTGTTCTTCCTGTACAATAGAGAGACGATGACCGATGCATTTGATGGGTTTTGCCAATACTTTTTGACATTTTCCATGGAAAGAGCAGATACCCTCTCACAAGTGTTTTTATGGAGTTCAGGAATTCTATTGGGATGCTATTTTGTATTGGTTGGGTTCTATATATCCATGTTGAGTCAATACTTTGTTCAAATAAGACAGGTCATTTTTCATATCTTTAGAAAGATTCAAAAGGATGAGGTTGGTAAGCTATATCACACTTTGACATCTACTAAAACTGGAGATTACGGAGAAACTGTACTAAGTCCAAAGAATAAGATTATCATATACACTGCAATCACATTTTTTGTAGTAGCATTGGTGAGTCCTATTCAGATATACGAATTCCAACTCAACAAACAGAATCAGTTTATTACAATGAAAACTGCTGCTTCTGTAAACTACGTTCTTAGTTCAGTAACTTCTGTGAATTTCAAGTTGGCCGAGATGATTATTGCATCAAATATGTCAGATTACACTCCCGATGAGTTACACTTGCGGAATCAAAAGCAATTAATGAATATTACAATGTCCTGGTCTTATGCTGTAAGAGGAGCTCCAGAGTTGGGCTATTCCAATTCTCTTTTTGGAAAATATTCTGATATTGACAAATTACTTGCCTATAAGTGTGATTCAAATACTTCAATGGTTAATTACACAAGTGGTCCGGCTTTGGATATTCTCCCAGACAGTTTGGTGAAGACAAGAGTTTCATGTTATGGTTTAGAAAAGTTGATTCACTCTTTTCAAGATCTAGCAGCAGAGATTAATGAGGATTTAAAAGCAAGGTTTTACACAAAATCATACGAAACTGATCAGTACTTTACATATCTGTACTATCCAGCTCTGGTTGCAGTTCAGCTTATTTACGATTTCACAAGCACATATGTACAGAATACAAAACAATCAGAAGATTACTTGGCAATCATTTCAACCATTCTGGGCTCATTAGCAGTTCTTGTGTTTGGTTGGCTTTCCTATCTAGCGATGATGGATCTCTTTAGAGAAATTCAATCATTAAGAATAATGTTGAATTATATTCCTAAAGATGTTGTTGACATGATACCAGATATGATTGACTATATTTTAAACTATAGAGTTCCATCCTCAGCTCAAAAATTGAAGAAATTGATAAAGAGAAGAAATGCAGTCATGTCTGGACTTGAAGTGGATGATGAAAATATGGACATGACAAGATCAATTTTGAATAGTGGTGTAGATGGAAGCATTATCTGTAATCCAAAGGGAGAGGTTGTAATGTTCAATCCTTCCAGTGAAGATATGTTTGGTTATAAGAAGGAAGAGATTTTGGGAATTCGATTAGAAACTCTATTTACAGAATTGAATGTGGAAAAGATTACAGTTCTTATTGATTCCATGAAAGTTTGCAATGAGGAAACAGGTGTTTCAGCAGATTCATTCGAAGTGACAGGATTGAGAAAGAACAAGACCACTTTCCCTGCATTTGTGTCGATTTCTATCAGTCAGTACCTTGGTAAACCAATCTTGTCCTGTTTTGTGAAGGATGTTACTCAATTGAAGAAACATTCATTGTTGCTAGGTGAGGAAAAGAAGAAAAGTGAAGAGTTATTGTTGAATATTTTGCCATTGCCAGTTGCTAATAGATTGAAACAAGGAGAAACCTATATCGCAGAAAAGTTCCCAGATGTTACGATTTTCTTTTCTGATATGGTTGGTTTCACCAAAATGTCTTCAGGAATGGAAGCAGATCAATTGGTGATGATGTTGAACACAATTGTGAATGAATTTGACAAGTTGACTGAGAAATATTTGATTGACAAGATCAAAACTATTGGAGATGCTTACTTTGCAGTTTCAGGAACTCACTCTTCAAAATCATCTGACCACCCTGAGAGAATGTTAAAGTTTGCAATCTCAGTTTATTCATTCTTGAGAGATTTCAATATTAAATTTGGAAAGGAAGTGAATTTGAGAATTGGAATGCACACAGGACCATGTGTTGGAGGTGTTATTGGAACTAAAAAGTTTGCTTACGATTTGTGGGGTGATACAATCAACACAGCCTCTCGAATGGAATCAACAGGTGTTCCAGGAAGAATTCAAATTTCAAGAGCAACCTATGAAAGAGTATTCGATTTGGGATATGAATTTGAAGAAAGAGAATCAATCTATGTCAAAGGAAAGGGTGAAATGAAAACATACCTGTTAAAGGACAAACATCATGCAAACCCATTGCCAACAGTTCAAGAAATTCAAGAACTCAAGATAGACTCCCAATCTCCAACAAATCTATTAGAATCAAGTTCAGTTGACGAATTGACTGTTCTCAAACTCAATCAAACATCCAACACCCAACAAAATTTACCAGAAACAACCAACAATCTCAACCCTTCACCAACAATCTCTCCCTCAAAAACAGAAGCTTAATTTACATAAACAATCTATATCTAAATGTCATTTCTAAAATCTCCTCATACTCTTGTTCCTCTCGCTCTTCCTTATTAAGGCGAGATATGCACCTAAAACAACCTCAAAAAAAAAGGTGCAACACAACCTCGCGCTTTTCTGCTTTGAAATTTAGCAATATTTTTTCTCTTGGTCATCAAAGGAAATTAATCTCGGACTACTGGTAGAAGAGGTAAAAGTAAGGGAAATTTAATTTAGTAATAATATGCCACTCACAAGGCGATCATCAACGTCCTCTCGTAAGGTTTTACCTCTTGCCTTTGATTTACCTCAACATGATATTTATTCTAATGGGAGATTTAGTTATGAAGACAATGATTGGAATAGAAAATACAATAATTCGGATACAAACTCTTCCGTCTTCTTCTTATCGGCGAGCAATTGCCAAATTTCTATAAGAAATTGTATGCTTATAGTAATTTCGAGTTTGACATTAATGAGTGTGTTTGTTAT